ACTCAGGCAGACAGGCAGGCACAGTGACAAGCAAATAAATTACTCTGGCATGGTCCCTGGGGAGTGTGTGCTCTCCTGCAGAGCAAGCGATTGCCTCAGAAACCCGTCTGCTCTTCAAGGAGCCCTTGGGCTACGCAGGGAGTAAGTTACTCCACAGAGTGCTCATGAGGATCTTGTTAAAAGCCAAGGAATAAGTTCAAGAGAGAACACTTCAGTGAGAAATCAGTGCCTTTGTCTGCAGCTGCAGAGGAATCTCGTACTCGCGGATGAAGCTCGCAATGGGATGGGTACTGCGGGCGCACAGGCTCAGAACGTGAGTCAGTCAGTTCTGCAGATCCTTGCTTTGCTTCTCCTCTAGCTCTCCCTCCATAACTTCCCTTTTCCTCTGAGAGGATTTGAGCTTCCTCCTCCCCTCTCTCATCACTATGGCACATTGCGCCACTGGGGACCAGGCGACGTGTGCACCGGAGCGGAGCTCCCATGAGAGGGGAGTGACCTTCCCACTGGTGCCTCCGCCGGGCACGCTTCCAAACTGGAGCGTGTGTCAGCTGATGGGTTCTCGCTCTGGCAACCAGCTATGATGCTGCCATCAGAGACGTCTTTATTGAGGCCAGCGAGGGAAGCAGATGGTCTCTCAGTCAGCATCTCCATAAATGTGAGTGGTTGCGGCTATAAAAGCAAACTGCTCTAAAGGGATGTTGCTAAGCTTTCCTGCCAGCGTTATTGCTTGGCTTTCCTCGTGAGGCACGGTGACCCTCTTCCAAAGAAAGGGCATAAATCATCACTTGGGTTTTTTTCCCTTTAACTCCTAGATGTGCTGAGTACTGTGTAATAAATTATACTGCTCCCTGTAAAAGTAAATCCAGACACAGCCCTGCCAGCCTCTTGAATCCCTGCGTCGCAGGTGACGGGAGGATTTAGTTCATCTCTTTGGTGTTGTTCCCATCACCCTGGAGCGCAGGTTGACGAGTGCAGTGAGCTGAGCCATTAGGTCACCCCAGAGATGAGCAGGGATTTAGGATGCCAAAGCAGTCAGGAGCACAAGGCAGCCTCATCCCCTCCCAGGTAGCTCAAGGGACCTGCCCCTCATTGCTCAGGGCTTGTCTACACAGGACTCTTAAGAAAATTAAATTGAAGTAACTGAATCTAAAGTGGATTAAAGAGCATTAAAATTCTGCATAGAACTCTCATTCGAAATTAAAGTGGGCTTAATTCAGTTTAAGTTACTCCCAGATGCTACTGGATAAGACCATTTAAATTGTCCTTCATTAACCGAAGTGGTCCCATATAGGCATTTATAAATGAGGCTTAATTAGCCCATTTTGAAGCACAAGTTAGCTGCCTTATGCTTTCATAGGTAGGCAGCCAGGTCCAAAGCCACTTTTTGACAGGGCTCCTGATCGGGATGGGTTAGCATCTGGCATCTCTTCCCAAGGGACTGGCACGTGGCGAGCTTCTTCCCCACCAGCAGATAATACAATCCTTGAATGCCACCTATTTTGACTGTGTTAAATGTACGAGTGGGGGATGAAGGATGCTTTGCCAGAGGATGAGCTCTTCCTTTACAATCTGGGACATGGGAGTGGTAATACCTAGAAAAAGCCCTAGAAGAAGATGGGATGTCAGGATTTAACGAGCCTTGTTCATGAGCAATGAGGCAGACTGGAGGAGAGCATATGCTGAGTCAGCAAAGAACTGGAAGGAGATGGAGGATTGGGAGGGACTGAGCCCATCCCTGGGACAGGGCTCCTGCTGTCACTGCTGCTTATGAGAAGGCCTGATTCAGAAAGGTAACCCTCCCGCAGCATGAGACACTGCTGGCTGCCCTTAATGCCCAGCCTGGGTCTACCACCTGACCGCGCCTTCCCCATCCCATCGCCCTCAGTCTCACAGGTTCCTCCTCAGGAAAGGCCCCAGGCATGCATGCGCTGCAGAGGGGATTTCCACCCCTTTCCTGTGGGTGCAGATACCTCCCAGCAGGACGGAGCCACAGCAGCACTCAGCAGCCCAGCAGTGCCTGTCCTGCAGCAGAAAGGGGGTGATGCAGCTGCCCAACAGCCGTGCTCAGCACCCCGCTTCCCATCCCAACCTCCCCACTGAGCGCCTCAGCCCAGGGACCAGGACTATGCCCATCCCCACCATCCAACCCCAGCAGAAGGACAGTCACATTGTGGAGATCTGAGGGCCTGAGCCCAAACCATCATCTGTGCAGGATTCCTTCCGAACCAAAGGGGGGTTTGTTGGGGGTCTGGATGCGGAAGCAGAGTGTGCAAGTTAGAAGGCACTGCTGCAAAGCACCATGGAGGGGCTCAGCACCCCATGTGAAATCCATGGTAAGGTTCTTGGCATGTCTCTGGCAGACCTGGTGCTGTTTTGGCTCTCTGCATACAGCTCCTTCCCTGCCCTCAGCCTTGTTCTCTGTTCTGCAGCTCCTCCAGCATTCCTCGGGCTGGGACAACTCAACCTGCGGCTGTGCTGGTTTTCCATGGGGAAATGCTCCCAGGGCAGTGCTTTCACTGAAGTCCTGCTAGCCCTGACCCCCGGGGGAGCAGAGCAGAGCGGGGCACAGACCTGCGGGCACATCTGGAGGAAGCAGCAGTTGGAAAGCACCGTGACAGCAATGGCAGCAGCAGCCCCACGGCACAAGGGCCAGGGGAGAGCGGAGCAGAGGCGGGACTGTCCCTAAAGATGCTCCAGGCGTGTTTGCACAAGGAATTTAACTGCAACGCCTCCTCAGCAGGGCTGCGCACTGGGACGGGTCAATACGCTCTCAAATCACAGTTGAGAGCCAGTTTCTTGCTTTGGACTGAGATGCTGTAGGAGCCTTACCCAGCAGCAGGAAGAGGAGATGGCTCTGCAGGACCTCTCCCTTCACAGGGCACCCTTGCCCAGGGAGGAAGCAAAACCTCCTCCCCTGTAGGTGGTTGTGAGGGGTGCACCAGTGATCCTAGCAGAGCCTTTGTTCTGGAAGCCTTCATGCCCTCAGAAGCTGCAGGCTCCGCAGCAGCCCTCGCAGTGCCAAGCAGCCGAAGCGCTTTCTCTTCAAAGCAATTTGCAAATGTGAAAAGGAAAGGGAATGAAAATCAAAAGTAAGCACCGGGAGCCTTGGGGTGCAGCCAGCCCATGACCCCTTTTGACTTCTAGGGTGGAGAAGCCAAGACCCTCTACCTTGGCATCTCTTCTTACCAAATCAAACCAGGCAGCGTGCAGTTGCTGTCACTGCTTTGCATAAATGAGGAGATCCAGTTTTGTGGCTCTGACTTTGGGGTATTTCCTATAAAAAGCACATCTGTGGCCATGCTTTTTGGTGCAATCGACTTTAGCCTGGAAGCAAAAGCATATAAACAATGCTAAATTCATGCTGACTGGAGTAGATTCCAAAGGAAAGAAGAGTTGGGAAAGCACCTACTTAAGTACTGACTAAGGATATTATCTGTGATCTGAATCTAGCCTCTGTGTGTGTGTTACTGTTGAGTACACAGTGCGGTTTCAGACATGGCCAGAGACAAGAAAAAAATGATTGTTCAGGGTAACCACAAGGAAGATGAATGCAAATGTATTCCTGTAACTGGGAGAGTTCCCTTGCTCTTAAGCCGGGCTCTGGTACATGGCCTCAGGGAAGCAAATTTGCAACTACCTTCATTAAATTGTTTAGGAATGATTAATCAGGAGTCAGAGATGCAAAAATCTCGCACATTGTGAAATGCTGGTTCCAATCCTGCCCTTACACACAGGCTGCAGGGGTGACTTCACACAGCACTCAGGGGACAGGTACTGGCGGTTGACAGATGCTTCCTGCTGGCTCCTATCTGCTCTAAAAGCCCAGGGTGATGCGCTTCCACCGGCTCAATTACAGCCACAGGCATGGCATCGGGAGCAGAGCGGTGCACGAGCCGTGTGTCAGAGGCTCCAGCCTCCTGCCTGTTGGACATGGAGCACGCAGCCTGCATGGGCACCCCCGGGCAGGTCACCGCGGTGGGAGATGCTGCTGTCACCCGGCCGTGCTCTGCTGCGTGCATCCATGGCGTGACTCCAGTGTCACCATGTGCTGTGTCCAAGAGCAGCGCATACAGAACCAAACACAGCGAGCACCATTGCTCATGGGCCCAAAGCTTGTGTCTGTGTTCACACGCTCCTCCTGCCTAAAGCCGCCTGCAGCTTAGGCTCAGTTTGAACCGCAGCATCCTCAGTAGCCCCTTGGTGATGGCGGGGTCTGACTGAACCCACCGTCCCCTGCCTTCCACCCCATTTCCCTTCCTTTCCAGCTTCAGCTCCTGGGTGTCCTCTGCTTTCCATGGGCATTGAGTGATGCTTTCCTGACAGCCCTAAGGCCAGGGCCTGCTCCTTAACATGTGAGAGTCAACGAGTTGGTACCACCTTACACTCCATGTGGGTCAGGGGATGCGCTATCTCTCTTGGGATGCACTGAGCAGGCGCTTTGGAGCTCAGGGACCCAACTGCCATTTGACATCCACCTCTGATGGGGAAGGGGAGAGTAAAACAGAGCCAGGACTGGAGTTTTAATGTGTGTAACCTCGGAGTAACAGCAGCCAAGGACAAGCTGGAACCCCCTGAGGAACCAGCTTCTCCACCGCATTGACCCCCTCCATCCACCATGAAGATGCCCTCCAGCGGCTCTGCGGCTCGAAGCGGGGCTGAGGCCCCCCCCACAGCCCCCAGCAAGGAGGAGGAGGAGGTCCCAGGAGGACACCGGGAAGCGGGAGGCTGCATTTACCTAACGAGCGCGCTTGTCGGGGCAAATCTGCCCGCGTTGCAACACGATTTGCATAGGAGCCAGGTGTTTGCAGCGGGACCTGCACCGACATCTGCGGGGCTGCTCCGCAGAGAGGGCCCCGAGGAACCGGGGACGCCGAGCGGGGGGAGCGGGTGGCCGAGCCCCTGCCCTGCTCCGCTCGCCCGGCGGAGAGGCCAGGCCCGGTCCGGTCCGGTCCGGAGCACCGGTCCCAGCAGCAGGGCCGAGCCGGGCGGGGCGCGGGGCGGACCGGGAAGCGGCCGCTGCTCCGCCCCCGCCCGCTCTGCCCTTCCGCGTTGGCGCAGCGCGGCCCGGGCCCCGGTATAAAGCGGCGGCCGCCGCCCGGTGCGCGCTGGCCCCATGGAGACGCAGCGGCGGCCCGGCGGGGGCAGGCCGGTAAGGGACGGGGACGGAAGGGAGGGCGGCTCCGGGGCGGCGGGGGGGGGCCGGCCAGGCCTTCCACGGCGCGGCCTGGCCCGGGGTCCCTGCGGAGGCCGGGCCCCGCTGCTAACGCCCGCTTTGGCCCGCAGGTCCTGAGCGTGAGCCGAGGCCGGGAGTACCCCGCGGGGAGCCATGAGCGCGGGCAGCGTCTCCTCCGCCCCGGGCTGGCCTGAGGCGCTCCCGGCAGCCAGGCCGCCGGCGTCCCGGCTTGGGGAGAGGATGAGCGGCAGAGAGGCGAGCGAGGGCCGCTGCCTCGGCCTGCCCGGCGCGGAGCCGCCGGAGGAGCCGGGGAGCCCCGGGCGGGAGCCCTGCGACAGCGCCGAGATGCAGCTGAAGGTGGATTTCTTCCGCAAGCTCGGGTACTCCTCCTCGGAGATCCACGTCGTGCTGCAGAAGCTGGGGCTGAACGCCGACACCAACACGGTGCTGGGGGAGCTGGTGAAGCACGGCCCGGCCGAGCGGGACAGCACCGAGAGCCCGGCGGACACCAAGGAGGCCCCGCTGGTGCCGCGGGGGGGAGCCGGGAACAAGAGCCCGGCGCCGGGCCCGGAGGAGGCGGAGAGCGATAACCTGAAGCCCATCGTTATCGATGGCAGCAACGTGGCCATGAGGTGCGTTTGGGGCTCTGGGTGGCCATGGTGGTCCCTTTGGGGCTGTTGGTGCTCAGTGGGGTGCTGGTTTTACATGGTCTGAGGGGTGCCAAGAGCATGGAGTCTGCAAGCAGCTGGGTGCTCTGGTCATGTTTCCCAGGGCACTGATGAGCATCGCGTCTGCCTTGGTGCCTGTCCTGCCCATGGTCTCTGCCGGCCCCTGAGCAGTGGTCACAGGGTTCTGACAGAGGCAGGCACGCTTTCTGGGGAAATAGAGTCATTTCCTTGTGTGTCCCAGCTTAGGAGGAGGATAACTGAAGATACATTGTCCTCTTACCTAATGGCTTTATGTAAGTTTCAGTAGCAGGAAGTTGCTCAATAAATAATTACAGGGTTAATTAGAGGAGGCTCTGTAATACAGAGCTGTCTCCTGCATTGGAGACCAGTCTCTGAATTGTGGCTCTTGTATTTTGGCTGACTTTGTGTATTGTACAGAGAACAGGTAAGATGTTAAAGGGCCTCTCCAGCCTGTCCGGGGCTGCAGGTCATCCTCAGCATCATAGGTGCTGATGGCACAGGTCCCGTTGGGCACTGTGACCAGAGGCAGCCTGTGGAGCTGCTTTAGTGGGAGTGCAGGAGCCTTGATATCCATGGAGCACCCATGAGTTGAATATTTACTGGCTTGATGTCCCTGCTGTCACCTTGGGTATGGTGCTGAGCATTGCCTGCCCTCACCCCAGCCCTTGATGTTGTGTTCCACACCTCTACACAAGGAGTCTGGGCTGGGTTAATTTAATACATTCAAGTTTCAGAACTGGGCTCTGCTGTTGCAGTTCAAAAGCAAGCCTCCTTCGCTGTGTTTTAGTTTAATAGGTCTTGTAGTGTCTGTTTGTGTACAAAGACTTCTTAATTAAAGCATAAGTCTGTTTGCACACAGCTGCTCTGGATTCCTGGAGCTTTTGTCGAAGGTGAAAGTGCTGAGTGGAGCTTTGCTTGCAGGTGTGGTTTTCTCTAGGCTGTGGCTGGCAGTTCTGAGAATGGGACTGAGCAGAGATGGGTTCAGTCTGCTGTGCAAGCAACAGCCGGCCTGCGCCTCCCAGGGGAAATAAGGAATTCTGGTGGCAATGGAGTGAGGTTGGAGAAGAAAAGGTGGGACCTGGGTGTGCACGGGAGAGCTCAGCCCTTTCCCTGTGGCTCTCCAGCAGCTCTGCAGTCACTTGAGGAGAATGGCCCATTGTGAGACCTGGGCTAATAGAGCTTGGAGAAGTGCTTAAACAACAGAACTGGTTGTGGGGCTTGAATGCAGAGCCCCTTCCCTATGGAAGTTATCCCAAAGAGCCCAGCAGATGTGACTGAGGGCAGGCCAGGTGGCAGTAATGCTGCTGATGGGACAGAGCCCGATAGGAGAGAAGCATGCTGCCTTTTTTAAGCAATATGCTAGAAGGGGAATTCCATTCTGAAACTTCCTGTATTGATGGTGTGATGTTCCCTGCTGATTCATTTGCCGTGTGTACAGCGGCCTGGCTGAGCAGCTCTTGACAAACATATGCAAATCAGAGTGGAAATTAGCTTTTACTTCCTTCTAAGGGAATTTTTCCTTGGCTGCTGCCAAATCAGATCAGCCCATTTAGGTGCCTTCTGGAGATGTGAGATTGGTAGCAGGGACTCAGAAAGAAAAACTTCTGCTTTTTGTATTTATCTCTAAGAGATCACAGTGACCTGTGTCTGGGTAACTGCAGCAAAACCGGTCTGACACTGGAGAAACCTCTTAGAGTATCTGAAACCTCTTAGAGTGTCTTGGTTCCAATTGTTAATGTCAGCCTTTCTGTAACTTGGGATTCTGAATGTACATCGGGTGTCTCTGTAGGTGTTAGTTTTCATGCTGAAAGTACCAAAATGCTTACTCTAAAAAGTCTATAACTCTGATCTTCCTAACAGTTTCAGAGAAGGGTGAGGGCAGGAGAAGTCAAGTTTCTTTCTGGTGCTACTATGGAATAGATTTTAGCAGTGTCTCTGCTGGGATGTAGGTTCTTTGGTAATCGCTTAATGGAGGAGTTCACTGGTGTGCTACATGGAGTTGAAATGTTACTGGAGTGTAGATGGGAAGGGTAAACCTGAGGGCAGGAGCAGTGCCCAGGTGAGGAAATCTGGCTGAATTATGAGACCAGTTATCTTCAGTATAGTACATCTTACCAGCGTGTTATCATGAAACACAGGCTGGTAGATCCCCAGAATGCAATATAGGGCTGTGATACAGAAATGTTGAATGTTTGCCAGAACCATTACCAGCAAAAGAGCTGATTATGCTGTAACTACTGGCACTTGTAAAACAGAAGCTGTAGTTTCCTCTTAGTTCTGGAAACTATTGATAGGACCTAATAAAGAATTAAGCAGCAGCTTTCTGCATTGGTGCGTGGCTTCTGATGCTGTTGTCAAACTTTGTTCTCAAACTGACAAGTGCTGTTAGGACATTGAGTGCTGATCCTGTTAACAGGAGGTGTTAGGTTTGTGCAGATGCCACCTTTGTCACTGATTTGGGGCCATAATATAATAATGAAGCATCTTTAAGTGCTGGTTGTCTTGATGTAAGTGTATAAGATGTCTTTTTTCCTGAAGTTATCAGAATAACTTTACAAGCAAAACCCCTGGTGAGGGTACAGTTTATGCTGGCAGGAATTAGCTGCTGGCAGACTAGGACAAAGGGTGTTGAAGTTCACATTGTACTCAGGGCTAAAAATACAGATCTACAGTCCAGAGTTAAAGCAAAGGTTCTGTTTCAGCAGCTGCAACTATTACAGCTGCTCTTTCCCTCCTGGTGAGGATTTGGGTGTTTCTTGGTCCTCAGGTGCTGAAAGGAGCAGTAATTATGAGTTGCTGATGCTGTTTACACAAGATGAGTAACAAATACTGATTGTGCTGCTCTTAATGCTTCTTCACTAGAGTTTTTCCGAGTTGCTGGATCTGTTTGCTTACTGTATTGCCTGACTGGTCTGTCCATATCCTGACTATTGAGAGTCTTCCTGTTCTTCTTTGCAGCCATGGAAATAAAGAGGTGTTCTCCTGCCGAGGTATCCTTCTGGCTGTCCAGTGGTTTTGGGACAGGGGACACAAGGATATTACAGTCTTTGTGCCATCTTGGAGGAAGGAGCAGCCACGACCAGATGTGCTTATAACAGGTGTGGAAATATGAAAACCAAAAGTGGCTTTTCAGGCTTACTGCTGTGTCAGTTAATGAGCTGTAGTTAGTAATTAACTTATGAGTGGAAGATCTGAGTAGTAAGAGATCCAGTAAGCTGCTGCCCAGTGAGAATTAGTCATTAACTTCTCCCCAAAGTGAGTGTTTGACTGTAACATACTTGACACCGTAGCCTGGACAGAATTTCTTCATGCTAAAAGTTAAAGCTTGGTAAGAATTACTCACATTGAGAGCAGTTTGCTCCGAACTTGCAAAGAGCTGAGATTTCCAAATAGCTTTACCCAGAAACCTATGCCTGTAATATGGCATGATAAAAGATAGGAGCCTGCCAGTCTTAAATGCATATTGCACTTTGCATGCCGAGGATTATGTGGATGGGACTGACTATTACAGCAGCCTCTGTGTGCTCTGAGTGTTTGTGGGTGCCATGCAGGTACTGGGTGTGGGAGTCCCCTTCTGACAGCCTGATGGATGGTGTAAGCAAAGAGATGAGCATACAGGCTGGATTGTGGGAGAGGTGGAGTGACTTTACATGAATCCTGTCATGTCTCGATGATGTCGCTTTATGTGTGCGAAGGCCTTTGGGCTGCGTATGTGTGTTCACAGTTGTGTTTGTTCTAGACCAGTACATTCTCCGTGACCTTGAAAAGAAGAAAATTCTGGTCTTCACTCCTTCCAGGAGGGTTGGAGGCAAACGCGTTGTCTGCTACGACGATCGCTTCATTGTGAAGCTGGCACATGAGTCTGATGGCATTGTGGTTTCCAACGATACTTATCGGGACCTGCAGAACGAGCGTCCTGAGTGGAAGAAGTTCATCGAGGAGCGCCTGCTGATGTATTCCTTTGTTAATGACAAGTACGTTTCCCATTCTTCCTGTGCTTTTAAATCAGATCTGGGTGAGCTGTCGTGTTTTAATGAAGCAATAGCAAGTGAGGTATGAAAAGAACAAAAGGCTGGTACAGAACTGTAGAAGGAAGTGTGGTGGGAAGAGTTGCCCAACTGTGACGAGGTACAAAGGCATAAGAAATTGGAGGCATCTCAATAGCTGCTCATAGCTTAGAGGTAGGAGCTCTGCTGTAGTGGAGCTCCTAGGAGAGCTTTGAGGCTCAGTTTCCTCACAGGACAGTCATTAGCAGGCCCTGCAGCAAGTACTAATTCTGATCAGCAACAGAGCACAGAACCTTGTGCCTGCAGTGAAGCATTTCATGTTGGTCTTTAGCTGGAGACAGGAAGGTTCTGTCTGCAGTGAATTGGGAAGGCTTCTTGGGGCTCAGATAGGAGCTTTTATTCTTACTCTTTAATGAAACGGGAGACTTGAAGAAGAAATGACACCCTGACCCAGGAAAGTGAACTGCTCCTGAATGAGTTTTATTTTCCTTTAGGTTTATGCCTCCAGATGATCCCTTAGGGCGCCATGGCCCCAGCCTGGATAACTTCCTCAGAAAGAAACCTGTGGTGCCAGAAAACAAGAAACAGCAGTGCCCTTATGGTAAGAGCTGCCTTCTAAATGTGAAGACTGAGGTGTCTGTGCAAGTGTAGTATGTACATTATTAGCAAAGTGAAGTTCAGCTGGTCATGCCATGCTCATTCCATGCTCTGCCTTTCCTTACAGGGAAGAAATGCACTTATGGAATTAAGTGTAAATTCTACCACCCCGAAAGGATCAATCAGCCCCAGCGCTCATTAGCTGATGAACTCCGAGCCAATGCAAGGTTGTCTCCTACCAGAAGTACCAGTGCCAAGGAGGAGAAAAAGGGCAAAAGAGGTTCCCAGGCAGAGCTCTTGTGCTCTATGCCCTCAGAGAGTGATAAAAGCTCTTTGCAGAAGGTCTCTGCAGAGAGGAAGAGCTTCACCCACAAGGCAAAGGCCAGCGATGCTGTGCTTCAGGTCAAAGGCTGTGTGCCAGGCAGCGTCCCCCCTAACAGTGGGAGCCACAGGTCCTCTGACAGGTACCAGCAGCCTCATATGGACTCTCTGGCTTACACCTCTCAGGAGCATCTTGACTCAGGCATTGGATCTCTGGAGAACCAACTGTCTGATATGTGGCCTTACAGATCTACCAGTCACTGTGATCATTCCCATGCTGACCAGGTGGCAGTCTGCACCTGCGGTAGGCAGAGACCCATCTACCCACATTCTCCCAGCTTAGAGCAAAATGGTCTGGTCTCTTACAAGCATGGTTCCCACAAATCTTCTTCCTCTGGTGCTAGCTTCTTGCAGTATAGCCCTGAGATATCTCACTCAGGACCACCTCACTCTTTCTCAGGCTATGGAGTACCGGTACACCCAGCTAATGCTGGGCAATACAGTCTGCCCAGTGAGTATACCACCCCTCCACCCCATTCTCGTGAGTACTGGTCTGAACCATACCAGATGCCTCCTCCTCAAGTGAGATCTTCCAGTGTGCGAGATCCTCGCTCAGTGCAGAGAGCCCCAGGGCCAGCGTATGGGGACTCCTGCCAGTGGGCTGTGTCTGACCAGTTTGCAGAGGAACGGGCCAACGTGCATGTCAAGCTGTGTGGCATCTTCCATCCCCACTTAGTTGATGCTGTGATGAGCCGTTTCCCTCGGCTTCTGGATCCCCAAAGGCTCGCTGCAGAGATACTCACATACAAGTCCCAGAATCCAGGTATATGAGGTGATGCTGAGGGCAGCCAGGCATGGGAAAAGCTTAAAGGGCGGTGTTTGCACTCTGTAGCTGCCATAGCTGCCTTCTGAGGGCTCCTTCTTACTCCTTGGAAGTACCAGGCTCTAGTTGGAAGCTGGATACCAGATGTGGTATGCTCACAGCAAATTCTGGTCTAGGTATGACAGCATGCCCCTCTTAGGTGAGAGCACCTTAGGGTCCCATCTTCCCCAGGGGCTGTTGAAGAGGCTCTGGGTGCTGAACAGAAGAGGTTGCAGGACTTTTCCTCTGGGGGTTGCACAGTGAGTTAGGCCCACCCTAAATTCCTGCAGTTGTTCAGGAAGTGCGTGTGACCTTACTCCTCCCATAAGCATCAGTTTTGAGATGGTTTAGTGTATGTTGGGCATGCAGAGGGACGACTTGGGTGGGGGGGCTTATGAAAGATCTGGGCTAGTACCTTTGCAGTGGCATGAGGCTTGTTAAGATTGAAATGCATTGTCAAGGCTGTTCTTAGCTGTTAACTAAGCCTCATTATGACATCCTGCCATGCAGATCTGAGGGAAGTGGTGGATTCTATCTAGTACGAAGCTAGGTTTAGCTGGCTCTGATTTACTGGTGCACTTCTCTGAGGATGCTTTCCATACCTGTCCCACTGAAGCTGCCCTTCCTGAGATGAGGCAGCTCTCCAATGTGTACCACAAGTGCTTAGCAAGCTGCTCGGCTCCCAGGAAACAGGAGCTGGGAGTGCAGCCCTTCCTCAGGATGAGAGGCCTGACACTGCTCCGGAGCTGGGACATGCAGTTGTCAGAACACGAGGGTGACCACGGTGTTGATGCTGAAACATTGGCCTTGCCTGGTACCTCGCTTAGGCTATCTCTGTACACCACTGACAGGGAGGATTTATGATGTTGTGCCTTGTGTCTGCAGACAGCAATAGCTTTGAGCACCCACTAAACCAGCTGTAGTCATGTCTGGACTGCTGCCAGTCCTATTCTGGAGGATTCCTTAATAGTTTTTCCTCTGTAAAGCTGTTGCTTCATCTTCCTACCAGTGTTCTCCTGTCCCCTTCAGCTTTGTCAAACTATAGCAGCATCCAAAAATGTAGAACAAGGCTTACTTGGTAAGACTGTTCCCCTCTCATTCCCTTTTACTCTGAAAGATGTTTTTTTTTACTGTAGATACTGTAACTGATTTTAAAGATGCAAAACCAATTGCTGTAGTAATTGGTTCTGGTCCTGGCATTTCACTGTGCTTAGAATGCAGAGGTGTTTCTTGCACTTGCAGGCCAGAAGCAGTTGATTTGTTGATACACATTGTATCTGTGTGGTTTTGTTATGTGTTTTTAAATACGTCCAGCTTGTGGTTAAACCCAGGTCGTTGAGTGGCAAGTCATGATGGGGAGAGCAGGATACAGCAATTGGAGAGCCCTCTTCTTCCCTCTGACTGTCCAAGGAGTGACCTACCCAGACTGGCACCATGTGCCATAGAAACCACAGGGACACAGAAACCTGTATACCCAGTGAATTACGATACATTACTGACCAGTAATGTTTCATGTTAGTAAGCAAAATGCTTCTTAATTTTAAGTAACCTGAGACTTTGCATATTTGTAAATTACAGGAAAAATGGTTTTTAATGTTATTGCCCAGCAACTCTGCTGCTTGAGGCTGGTTTTAATTAGGGTGTTACTCGACTCGGCCATTGTGTTACTTGGCGTGGTGGGGTTTGGTGTTCTGATGGAATGAATGCTCATACATGCTGCTTCTCTTGCAATCAGAAGATTAACATTGTATGCTCACAAGCTGATGTTTTACTGACCTCTCTGGCATTATGCAGTGTATAGCCCATGTACTGAATGGAGGCAGCCGGGTGAAAGCCATGGCAAAGCAAGAACATGTTGGTATATAAATAAAAACTGCTGAGTTGAATTCTTTGGACTCTGGTGGCTTTTTGAAGGCCCAGTCAGCGTTTTGGCTGGCTTTCCATGGAAGTCAGGGAATCCTCTTCCTCCCTGGCCTTCCTCTGGCAATCTTGGCTCTCCATACGCAGTCTGATGGCTTGGATGTATTGATGGGTTTGGTAACTGATGCAGTGTCACAGGGCCAGAAATCGAAGCTCCAAACTGCCATAGCAAACCACAGCACATCCAGTGTTCACTGCTCACAGGGCATTGCTGAGGTTGGCTCCTGCACAGGGGAGGTGGAGGGGGGCAGCAGTGTGCTGGCGTGTTCCACTATGAGAACCACAATGGTGCTGGATGTCTTGGGAATAACACATTCCTCATTACTCTGGAATAGTATGGGCTGTGCTTGAGTTCCAGTGGGCAGTTCCACAGTGCAGCCTGGAAAGAAGACATATTTCATCCAGTTATAGCACATCTGTGTCAGATGGGGAGCATGATAGCGCACTAACATGTCAAGACTTTGCTCTAAAGCTCTGTTATGAACTGGGGAGGAAAGGCAATAGGAGTATCAGTGCTCACATTCCTGTATAAGAACCTTCCCCTCCCACCTGCTATCTCACAGCACAGCGTGTTCTTCCCTGAGCTGCTAAATCTGGTCTTTATTCAAATGTGTGCTCTTAATTTAATCCAGGGCAATGACCTTTTCTAGCTCAACACAAGCAAGGAAGGCTCCTGGAGATAGGGCTTTGCTTCAGAACCCAAACCTGGAACCTCACAGTCTTGAAAGGTCATTTACTGGCTGTGGGGGGAATCTTTACTTCTATCAAACTGGACCAACGCTACTAAGGGAATCTGGGCAGGATGAGGTTTGTTACCGTAACCAGGAGAGGAAGAGGTGGTGGTGATTCATCTGGTTGTGATGTTAACAGCCCTTTCCTATTGCAGTGACAGTCTTGTTGGCACATGGAGCAATCAGGGAGGGTTGGTCCTTAGCACAAACCAAAACTATCCCCACAAACTGCTCCCAAGGGAGATCCAGTTCCGAGCTCTCATTCTCCCATCCAAGGCTTCTGCGTGAGTGAACTGGAGCATCCTCTGTGTTGGAGTGTAAGTACCACTTCCCCATGTGCCAGGCATCCTGGTGGACCTGGGCTGTGGTGCCCAGGGGAGCACTGCTCAGAACCATCACTGATGGGTGTTTGGTTCCCCCTGCACTGAGTCAGAGGAGCTGCCTCCCTGCCCACTGTTATTGTGGAGCTGTCACGACGCAGCCTGTGGCTTACCGCTTCCTCGGGGCGCATCGGTGGGGAGGACCTGTCAGAACTGCTGTGCTCTTGCATTGTGTTTCTTATCCATCTAAAATAGGTTAGATCTTCCTCTCGCTTTGCTGATCTCTTCAAGTTAAGGTCACACACAGGCACCCTGCTGAAAGCTTCCTGTGCTTCAGGCTTGCCCTGTCTCCATCCTGTCAGCCTCTGAGCAGCTTTTGCTAACCCCAGCATGGTGAGGAACTGCTGCTGCTCTCTTTGAAGGGAGGAGCTGGGGGGCAGAAGGCTCCTGGGAAATGTTAGGGTGCAACTCTGGGAAAGAGGAGGTGATGCAAGGCCGTTCCTGTTGGGCAGTGGGGCTAACAGGGAGCTGCCGGATGGCTGTGAGCAGTCCGAGTCTGGTGAGCCCATCCCTTCCAAGCCAAGTTGTTGGAGTGGTCACATCACTGTGGCTGCATCCCCCCAAAAGCATTATATATATATATATATATATATATGGAGGAAATTCTTTCCTGTGAGGGTGGTGAGGCACTGGAATGGGTGCCCAGGGAGGCTGTGAATGCTCCATCCCTGGCAGTGTTCAAGGCCAGGTTGGACGAGGCCTTGGGTGAGATGGTTTAGTGTGAGGTGTCCCTGCCCATGGCAGGGGGTTGGAACTGGATGATCTTAAGGTCCTTTCCGACCCTAACTACTCTATGATTCTATGTTTCATGAGACAGTGTAAAGGGAACGGAGGAGGGAGGGTTTGAATAGGGAAAACTTGGGTGTGAAAGTGAGGAGGCTGAGTGAGGGTGTTTGTAAAGAGGAATCAGAATTGTTAGGGTTGGAAAGGACCTTAAGATCATCCAGTTCCAACCCCCCTGCCACTAAACCATCTCACCCAAGGCCTCGTCCAACCTGGCCTTGAACACTGCCAGGGATGGAGCATTCACAACCTCCCTGGGCAATCCATTCCAGTGCCTCAGCATCCTAACAGGAAAGAATTTCCTCCTTATATCCAATCTAAACTTCCCCTGTTTCAGTTTTAACCCATTACCCCTTGTCCTGTCCCTGCGGTCCCTAATGAAGAGTCCATCCCCAGCATCCCTATAGGAATGAGGGGTCCACCCGTGTGGTTTGGGGCTAGAGAAGAGCAATCTCCTCTTTACCCTCCCAGCTGTGCCAGGAATAGATGGGAAGGCGATTGGACACCATCCAAGGACAGGCTTTGCTCCCGCGGCACAAAGAGGGGGTGAAGAGGCAGGGGAAGAGCCCCTCTGCAGGGAGCTGGAGCATTGTTCTGTAAAGCAGCCCTCCAGCAAAGGAAGGCAGAAATGGGAAGCTGCTGTGGCAGAGGTCAGAGCCTGCCTGCTCCCCTCCTGCCTTCCCCTGGGTCAGTGACCCAGGAAGGGCCCTGGGCAGGGGATGCGGCCTCCAGCTGGGAGGGAATCGGGTACCTGCTGCACAAAGTACATGGACCCAGTCAGAGATCAGTGGGATCAGACAAAAGCCGTTTATTGCAAAGCCTTAACTCCTTATATACCATTGCTTACATGCACTTACAGTGATTTGGCATATTATGATTGGATCCATGTCTTGAAGACCCTTAGTGACTAACACATAATTGGTTAAGCTCAGGTGTGAGAACTTGACCTCAAAAGCTGCCAACAGCCCACAGTTCTCATAACTCAGTGAATTCCAGCTCTTATCTTGCTTGCTTCAGCTTCCCAGGGCCTCTCCTGGCCTTGCTCTATCTTTTGGGATTATTCAGAGTTCACGTACCGAATATCCATTGCCTCCACTGGTACCCAGTGTCCATGGGGCCCCATCCGGCTCCCAGGCTCTGCTTGTGCTCTTCTTGCTCCTTAAACTCCAACTTGACCCCATCTGGTTCCTCCCACAGGGGATGTGCAGGATGTGGCCAGCTTGACTCTAATGTTTCAAGGCGTTTCCAGAGGCAGGGATCTGATCCGAGGCTCTGCACAGGCCATGGGGAAGGGGATGCTGTGTGATGGAGGCACACGTGTGTGTGTGTGGTGATGCCACCTTACAGGGCAGCAGGTTCAGCACCAAACCCAGGTCTGAGGCTGCAGGGAGGAAGGGGTGTCCCGAGCGCAGCAGC